TAACACCATGAATCGTACAATGACATGTAGGAAGATTCAAATTTACATAATCATCAAACTTCGAATCACACACATTGTGATGTGTTTATATATCTGGTATGTCTTATGCTTGGAACACTATGTGTTACTGCGAGTAAGTACGTTTCGAAATTCAAGTTCTTTACACTGCGACTTAAATGCATCATTGACGAGCAATATTGTTTATCAATTTCACACAGAGTAACGTAAACGTACAATTCATGTTTACCGTTTAAAGTATAATATCCTCACAGACGTTTTATGATGCGATGACTGCGACGATAACTATTCGCTGAGTGGTTGATGTATTAGAGCTCTTTTTCGTTCATGCGTTTTCTATTTCATTATTTTTGTATATCATTTGTTTTTATTTTTTCATTTTCTTATTAATTTATTTTTTTCTTTCAGATAGTGTATTCAACATGAAATTTTACTTATCTTTACAAATATGCGAATTAATTTTCAGTGTAATTGCTATCAAGCCTACGTTAAACTACGCAATGACACATATAATAAGAATGCACTTTGACGATATCGAATCTTTTTTTATATCTAAGGGATCAGCGTCAGCGACGATAAAGTCTGTCTGTTCCCATTCTCTTTTCAAAAATGAGTTTAGGCAGTGTATTCAATGCGGAATTTGACGTATCTTTATAAATATAGTGTTAGTTTTTCAGAGTAATGTTATAACGAATAATATGTTTCTATACAGATGTACACTACCGGTATCTAAGTTATCCTAATTGCAAAGAATTCGTCATTCGTATATCTTTAATGTTAAAAGTTATGATATATTTTTAAAGGTATAAAAGACTTAAATTGTTGGTCAATTGATCCCTTAAATAAAAATAAATACTTTATTTCTTTGAACGTTTGCACGGTCTATGTTCACTGCTACAGTATCAAATTATTTCTTAATAACATCAATTATTTATTGTTACGATAGGTTTAATTAAATTGTTGCAATATGGTTCTATCTCATTATTGTGATCAATCATAAACTTTCTACTGATATAACGGTGTGGAAATGTCCACTAAGGAGGCCTGACTCGAAGCATTGTGGTCGGCCGCAGCGTTTCGTCCTGGTCCCACACTACTAAACTCATCAGTAAGGTGATGTAGTATGGGACTTGCCTTAGACACCTGGAATGAATACAGAATGATATTCTATTTAAAGGGAATTCGCGCGGCGCGGTGCTTACGCGAACCGAGTGAGTCCCGTGGACCTCTAGTGGCGAGTCGCCACAACGGTAAATTCGTGACATTAGCTATACCGTTTCCAAACATATTTCATACATTATTAATTTAGTATCTTTTTTAATCTTTTCATTTCTTGTTTTACATGTATCTTATAAAATTTAATTACCTTAATTACAAGAAATATTAATTTTATTTAAAGAAGATTCTTGTTTCTGATTTGACATGCTTATAAATAAATTTTACCAAGAAGTAATATATATGTATACATATATATATGCTATAAATAGTATAAAAAGTTTTTTATAATTAGAAAAATACATTTTAGTTCCATCAATTAGGTAAATGAAATCCTATAATCAACCAAAGTTGATTTTATTATCTAAATATTTCAGTATGAATATATTTCAAATTTTTACAAGTACACTAGACAATTCTATACACTGTGCAATAAAGTCCACCCTAATCTTGAAGCACAGTCATGGCTAGAACTGTAATAGTATTAATAGTATTAGAAAATGTTATATTATAATTA